GTGCTGAGGCACACACACAAACAAACACACACACAAACACCTCCTTCCCTGCAATGCCAGGGGGGAATGGAAGTCCCAAGTGTCGTGAGACATGGCTGCAACCCTGAGCCTCAGTCACCGCTGCTCCTGGCACCCACATGGGCCGGCAGCCCATAGCTGAGGCCGTGTACCCATCACAAGGCTGTGGGGAGTCCCAGCCTAACTGGTCTCAGACTGTTGGGTGGGAGTCAAGGAAAGCCACTTCTCCCACTTCACCAGCATAAGAAGGGACACCACCAGGAGGAAGGAAGACACTGTGAAGGGCATGTGTGGAGTGCAGTCTCAGCAGCCTCTGGGGGTAGGTTACAGCTGCTAGAGCCATTACCTCCACTCCATGGAGGGGCCCAGGGTAGCAGAGGGGGAGTGACATGTCCATGATAGGCAAGTTTGGGCTACACTGCTAAGCAGCAGATCTTAGCTCTGAGCCAACCTTGGGCTGGGGCTAGGGGCTTTATGTATTTATGCATTTTTGTCTTTTTGAGACAAGGTCTCACTATGCAGCTCAGGCTGACCTTGTGCTCACTTTGTAGCCCATGTTAGTCTCAAAACTCACAACATCCTCCTGCCTCAGCCTCCTAAGTGCTGGGGTTACAGGAGTATTTCATCACTCCCAGTCCTAGGGGCTTCTTCATGGATCAGAGTTGTACCACCTGCCTGGGTCTCCTCCCAGGACAGGCAGGGAAGACAGCATCCTCCTGAGGTTCCTATGGCCTTGTGCTGTCTTCCCCTATGGACAGGCTGGGATCTTCTTCCCCTGTGTATTAGTCAGTGTTCCCATCGCTGAGACAAAATAATTGCTGTCCACAACTTGAAGGAGGAGAGGCTTAGTGCTGCTTATGGTTCCTGGGGGCTTAGTCCATGGTTGTACAGCTTCAAGGGAGAAGCATGGTGGTGGAGGGGGCATGTGTGCTAAATCTGTTTACCTTGTGGTGACTGGGAAGCAGGGACCAGGGGATGATACAGTCCCGATGGTCACAGCCATGCCTAAGTCTTCCACTCAGGTCCTTCCTCCTACTAACCTACCCAAGCCATGAGCTGGGGATGCAGTAACTCATGCATGAAGCTGGCACCCCACAGCCAGTCACTGGTCCAGGGGTCTCTGAGTGCAGTCAAGTTCACAGTCATCTACCTGTACCTTTGTTCGCAAGACCTTGGTCAGAGAACAAGTGAGGAGAGGGCCCTGGTTTGTGGCAGTGGCTCCTTCTCTCTGGCTCAGCTGAAGTCAGTTTCCGCCATACTGACTGGTGGGCAGATATGTTCCTTTTCTCTCTAGGGTCAGAGTCTCCCAAAGGGTCCATTGGTCACATTGTCCCCACTGATAAGAGCATCCTGGCGGTAGAGAAGAACAAGCTGCTGCTGCCTCCTGCCTGGAACAGGGTTTTCAGCTGGGGATTTGATGACTTCAGCTGCTGCTTGGGGACCTATGGCTCCGACAAGGTAAACAGCCACTATCTCCCTCCCACTGGCCTCAGGGGCTAGGAGCTCAGGTTGTGTCCTGCCTAGGAGACAGGGGCTTCTGGGGTCCCTTGAAGACCCTCTCTGACCAAGCCCTCAACCCCATGCCTCACGGTGTGGAGCTTGCAGGCTGGCTGTGGGCAGGGCCACCTCCAGTGGGAGTCTGGCCAGCCATGTGGCCATCTGGAGCTCACCCACATGCACACTCCATTTCATTGGAAAGTCAGGAACTTCTGCCACCCGAAGCAGTGTGTAAACTTAGGATCATGCTGAGTGTTCAGCTCCTCAGCGCCAGCACTGCAACCCCAGCTCTGGCCTCTCTGTCTCTGCCTTGTCCACAGTGGCTACCCATCACACCTGGTGGACTCCTGACTCTCCCCAGTCCCACCCCCAGCCTGGCTCTCCCAGCTGAGGCAGCGTGGCTATCAGCCCAATATCTGCTCCTGAACTCTGTCCCCACTACTCTAAGCTGAGCCACTGCCCCTGGTGCTCTTGAGATGTCTTACACCCTAGGTTCCTGTTGCTTCTCTTTCCCACCAGTAAGGAAGAAATTGCTCCTCAAGGGTGGCCTGGATTTGCTACCTGGGCCTGAACACAGGTCCTGAGGCACCCAGACTCACCAGTGTGCCCCTCACTCTGTCCTGACTTCCTGGGCTCTGCTGGCCCTGCTCCAGCACCTGTCCCTTCTGCACAGGTCCTGATGACCTTCGAGGATCTGGCTGCCTGGGGCCACTGTCTGTGTGCTGTGTGCCCGTCACCCACAGTAATCATCACCTCGGGGTCCAGCGCTGTGGTGTGTGTGTGGGAGCTCAGTGTGGTCAAAGGCCGCCCGAAAGGTCTGCGTCTCCAGCAGGTAGGTGGGTCAGCAGGGTGGAACTGTAGGTGTGGACACTAAGCAGGTACAAGGCCCTGGGCGGGTGCAGTATCTTGACAGGGTGTGTTCCTCTGGCCAGTTATGGTGTCTGATCACGTCCAGCTTCCTGCTCCATGAGGCTCTGACTCACTGGAAAGCAAGGGAGATAATGAAGACCAGCATGGGGCCACCGTCTGTCACTCTAGGCAGGCCCACAGCTCAGTGTGACTTGCAGCTGCTTCCCTGTATACCAGGGCCAGTGGAGTCCAGTCTCCTGCACCCAGTACTGCTCTCTGCATGCCTCCACAGGCCCTACTCTGCTCGGCTAGGCCCTTTCATAGGCATTGCACCTTCCCAACAGCCCTGTAAAATCAGCATCACTACTGTCCCTGCTTTCAGAGTAGCACAAGGAAATGAAGAAATGGCCCATTCAAGGTCACAGATGGGAAAGCAGGATTGTTTCAGAGGGATGTGGCCCTGGTAGGGGAAGGGCCAACAGCAGGGCAAAAGGACGCTCCGGGTCTGGCTCTGGGCATCCACTGTTCCTGTTGTAGCTGAGTGGAGCTCCTCAAGGTGCCCTGGGGCTATGATTTCTCTTTTAGATGAGGAAACTGAGGCTGAGTAGTTGAGGCTTGTCAACTTAAAGGTCCCGTGGCCTCTGTGTGTGAACTTGCCCCAGAGATCACTAGGGACATGTCCCAAGCAGAGAGCAAGAAGGCCTTGCATATCGGGCTCTCCAGATTTTCAGCCAGAAAGCCCCAAAGTGACAAAAACTAAAATAGGTCCTATGACATTCGCCCTGCCCAGAGCCCTAAACCAAGCTGGCTTCCTTAGGAGGACTGACTCTGGGTTTCTCTGGATGACTTTCAAGTCACTTGCCACCCTCTGGAGCCTGTCATTGTCCCCTGTTGCCACCACCAGGCATAGATGGTGTGGTGGGTGCTCAGTAGAGGAGGTAGGGGACATGAGGGGTCTGACCAGGGGGGAGCTGGTCAGTCCCAAGGAGCGGTGACGCCGTCTAGGTGTCTGTGCAAACCTGCAGGTGGCCATCCATCTCTAAGGAACTACGCACAAGCACAGCCCCTTCATGGTTTTATGTGGATCCTGGGGATTTCTGGGGTGGGCAGGGGAGCAAGATTTTATGGCCCACATAAAGGAAGAGATAGGAAGTGACAGTCATGGCTAATGCCATTACAAGTCACCTGGGAACGGTGGGCAGGTCCAGCCTGACCCTGGTGCTGGCCTTGGGCACAGCAAGTGACCATCCCGCTGCTACTCTGGAACCCCACTTAGCAGTGAGATGCACCCTGAGAACCTTGGTGTCCACACTGTCAGAACACAATGTGGCATCCTCCTCTGGCTCCAAATCAGGAGACAGAAGCATTGGGAAACCTACATACTCCTATTTTCTAGGCAAAATCAGCACTTCGTCATTGACCCATGAAGGATGATGTGGCTTTGGTGGGGCCCCAAATCACTGGTTGCTCAATGACCAGAGTCCACCCCTGAACTGTAGATGGAGAAACAAGTCCTGATTAAGCAGTTTCATAAACATCTGTAAAAGTGCTTTATCTTTCTAGACATGACATTAAAAAGAACCATCAAATTCACTTCAAAGGTAGTTCTCCACAATTTCTATATAAAACTTTTCACTTTTGCATGCCACCACCTCCAATTTACATATTTATACCTTTCTGGTCCTTGTGTAGATACTTTTATTTCATTTTCTCCCAGCCTATCAAGTTGTTTTCATATTTCTACAGCCTCTATAATTTACATTTCAATTGTCCCAGATTATTGCATTTTCATGAAATTACATCTCTATTGTTTTGTTATGTCAGTGCACCACAGTTTAATAAACCATTTCTTCCAAAACTAGACAATTAAGTTATTTCTGAGTTTTTGCTGTTTTAAACAGTGCTGTGGAATGCACCTTAAATCACTGCCTGCTTCTGATTAATGTTTCTTTATGATAAGTTTTAAAGAGTAGGATGACTGAGGCATGACCCAGAGTTCTCCAGGATGGTTCCACAGCTTTTGGTGCTGCCAACAGCTAAGAGCACCCATTTGGTCACAGCACGACCAGCAGGGGGATTTATTTTCAGAAAATTTTGGTTTATTTTAGTTTTGCTACTTTAGGGAGGATAAGATGACAAAATGAAATCCCTTTAATTGGCCAGGAGAGAAACATTGTTCCGGAAAAACAGAGAAGCCCCTTGGTGGCCCATTTCAAACTGTCGCACCTTGCCTTGTTTTCCTCTGCCTGTCCATGCAATGGGTGCTCAGGGCTTCCTGCTGCCCTGGTCTCCAGCCTTGGGAAGCCAGGTGGGCAGCGCCCTGTACCTGGCTCTGGAAGGCACCAGCTAATTGAGTTCCACTGATGAGCAGCTCTCTGAATCCCAGCCTTCCACCCAGCTCGCCGTCCCTGTCCCCTTGGGTCAGACTTTAGTCATCACTTAGTCCATTCTGGGAAGAGGATAAAGAATCTCCTGCCAAACCCGCCCCCTCCTCTGCCGATCAAGGCAGTTTCCATGTTCTTCAGATGTTCCCATCCTCTCCCATGGGTCGTGTCCAGAAACTCGCCACAGCCCTCCGGTTGGTGTCATGTTAGGACCCACTGAGGATAAACGGGAATCCCGTGACAGGACTGTTAATTGCTGTGCCCAGGAAAAGTAACTAACAGCTTTGAAAAATGATACTGGGCCTCTACGACCCAAATGAGTGCACCACGGGCCCTGCCTGAGGGGTGAGATTCTCCACAGTAAGCCTGGCCAGTGCCACCCACGCCCTCCACCTGCACAGGGGGTGGCAGGCTCAGGGGACCTCAGGCAGGCTTTCCTGCTGCCTCTGGGATGCATGGAATTGAGTCTATGCCATTACCAGCAGTGGTGGCCCTAGGCACCCCAGACCTGATTTGCACACAGAGCCAGCACTGTCATGCGAGCACCCACCCCCAAGATCCCTAAGGGCCACGGGTAGGTTGAGTCACCACTGGGCATGAGCCCCAGCCCCTTGGACTTAGAAATCACAACTTTCTGAGGATGACCTGACTTCCCCTCCTTCCCAGTTCAGTTTAGGCCCCTGTGCCTCAGTTTCCCACCACATGCTAACCATGGGTGTTAGCATGCATGGAGTCCCTCAGAGGGTCCATAAAGATGCAGACTGTGGGGCAGAGCCTGAGAATCTGCATTTCCAAAACTCCGGATGCTTAGGGCGGCGGGACCAGACCTTGAGTGCCTTGCTGTGCAGGTTCTACCTGGGGCAGGGAAGATAAGGGTTCAAGAGGCTGCTGGCTTCTGGTTGGAGTGTTGCCAAAGGACCCAGTTTAGGAGTGACACAACTACACTGGGCTCTGGAGCCACTGAGTCACGGGTCACACTGGGTTCCCATGCTGGGGACATAGAGTGGTAAAGGAGAGGGTGAAGAGTCACCCAAGGGCTGGGTGGACAGTCCGTCTCATAACCTTGGGTCTTTGACCTCCCCCAGGCCTTGTATGGACACACCCAGGCTGTCACATGCCTGGCAGCCTCAGTTACCTTCAGCCTCCTGGTGAGTGGCTCTCAGGACCGTACCTGCATCCTGTGGGACCTGGACTGTCTTGTGCATGTGGCACGCCTGCCTGCCCACCGGGAGGGCATCTCGGCCATCGCCATTAGCGACTTCTCGGTGAGGCTCTGGCTCTTCCATGTCTGTGGGCCTTTACAGTGGCTTGGTAGACCACATCCTATGTGAAAACACAGGAGCAGAGGGGTCTCCCACCTAGTGTAGAGAGAAACCTGTGTGTGGTCCTTGTGCTACAGATGAGCCTGTGTAGTCTCCTCCGGATGTAGCCTTAGCTTCTGTTTCTTCCCTGTCCTCCCTTAATGACCTAGGGCACTGGGGCATCCGCCCTGGCATGAGCACTATACACCAGGGACAGAAGCTCCACCTTTGGTGAGGGGCCTGCTGAGTGAGGCTGCTATTCCAAATGGACTGGGCAAGGCTCTGACCTCACAGCAGTGACTGCCCCATGTGCAACAGCCCTCCAAGCTGGTTATCAAGGAAGCGTTTGGCAGGAATACTGCATAAGAGGCATTTAGGAAACTGTGTGGCAGTGTGGGGTTTCTTCCAGGATGGAAGCCCTGTCCTGGGTCTGGGATGCTCTGAGCATGCAGAGGTTTCTGCATCTGCTCACAGAAATAGCTGGAAGCCCAGTATGTGGGGAATGGGGACAGAGGCTCATTGGAAGAAGAGCCATCTGCTGCCAACTTAACTGAAAGTGGTACAAGAAACAGACGACAACAGGGTGAATATTAGATGGGTGGACAGAGGAAGACTGATGGGTGAGTGGATGGGTGGGTGGATGGATGGATGGATGGATGGATGGATGGATGGATGGATGGATGGATGAGTAGGTGGGTAGATGGCTGGGTGAGGGGTGGGTAGATAAATAGTTGACTTTGTGGATGTATTTGCAACTGAAAATGTGGATAAATGAATGGAGGATGGATGGATAGAAGTGTAGATGATGATGGTTGGTAGTTTGGTTGGAAGATACGTTGGGGAAGGGAGACCATGAAGCCCAGAATGAATGGCGTCCCTAGACCCCAGCGTTCACTAGTGCCACTGTAAATTCTGTTGTCCTTGTGGGTGCAGGTCTGGCAGAGGTACGTTAGCTAGAGTCCTGGCCTCAGGCAGTGAACCCTGACCAACTGGGAAATGCCACAGCGAAGCACGCCTTGAGGAAGGGATTGGAGTATCCCTGATCACTTCTGTGGTTTGGCAGAACTTAAAGGCATGGACCCAGCTGGTGACATGGCCTTCACTCCAGTGGGTACAGGATAACAGGACATGGGGAGTAGGGGCTCTCAATGAATATCTCAAGAGATGCAATAGGGAATTTCCAGAGACCCCTTGCTGCCCAGCTTCACACAGGCTCTGAGTCTTGTGGCATCATTTGAACCTCTGTGCCATGAACTCACCAGATGGGAGAGGGCTGGCAGCCAGATGTGGAATCTGTGTCTAGAGCCAGAATTGGTTTGTAATAAGAATTTGTATGAGTCAGATGCAAAGAGTTAGCTGGTGGTTTAGAGAGTCTTGGGGTACCCTGACTGGTACCCCATTTTGGAGTTCTTGGTTGTACAAACTGTTGACTGAGAAAGGAGCAGAGGGACCACTAGTGACTCCAGCTCTCACTGCTGCAGGGCACCATTGTCTCCTGTGCGGGTGCCCACTTGTCCCTGTGGGATGTGAATGGACAGCCGCTGGCCAGCATCACCACAGCCTGGGGCCTGGAAGGAGCCATAACCTGCTGCTGCATGGTGGAGGGGCCAGCATGGGACCCGAGCCACGTCGTGGTCACTGGGAGTCAAGACGGCATGGTGCGGGTAGGTGTGTCTCGGGCAGAGTGAGGAGGCAGCACAGGAAGTATGTTTGTCTTCCTTTTGTCCACTTCCTCTAGGGGTTAAAATTTTTGGTTTCTAATTTGGATACTTTCAATCACAGTGCTTGCAGCAAGTGAAAGGAAAGGCAAGTCTCTTTCTAGGGAAAAAGTAAATTAAAAAATTATATATATGATAGTATATGCATATAATAAATTCTGTTGCAAAGGTACGGGTATTGAATGGTTATATTTAGTAGATGAAAAAAAGATAGGTATTACACTCATTCAACCCAACTTGAGCATCCATTTGTGATCCACTAATCTATCTGCCCACCTATCCACATATCTCTCTATCCATCTGTCCAACCAGTCACCCATGCGTCCATCCTTCTATTTACCACTCACTGATCCACCATCCAGCCAGCCACCCATGTGTCCCCCCAACTGTGCACGGAAGCATCATCCACCCATCCACCAATCCAATACCTGCAGAGCCGGGCTCCATGCCAAGCACATCACACAAGCCCCTGCAGATGCAGAGATTCAGAAGCAGGCACTTTTTGCCAGGACACTCGTATTCCAGAAGAGGGAGAGGAGAAGACAGGCAGGCAATGCACTGGTCGTGCCTGAGGTAATCAAGAGTGCTGAGGGCTCTGAGGACAGCCATGGAGAGGGAGGAGCTGCAGGAGCCTGAAACAGAAGGAAGCACTGCAGTGGAAGATTAGGTGGAAGAATCAGCCACAGGAGGTGGTGGAAGGATGAAGGAATGAATGAACAATAAGGCGAATGGGGAGCTTGCTCAAGGAACTATCCTTGAATTTTATGATTTGAGAAGGGAAATATCAGTCTAACACAGGGCCATTTAGGCAAATGCCACATCTGCAGGCCCTCAGTGAGCCTGCCACATGCACACGTGGCTCACACTAAGCCTTGCTCCCCGTGGGCATCTCAGAAGGGGATGACTCTTCTGTTAGGGAGTGGAAAAGCACCATGGGGTCCAGAGCAAGCATGGGGTCCTTTCCGACAGATTCAAGGGAGACACAGGTCAATGAGGTGCAAAGATAAGGAAGAGCCGGGTACCTGGGCTGGAACATAAGGAAGGTGGCGAAGCACAGGCCTCTGGGTGTGGGCTGGCCTGGGTCAGCCGGAGGAGCCCTGTGAAGTCAGCCCATGCCCCCAAGGCCAAGCACAGACCCATTGGAGGCCACGGGGGTGCGCTGGGGCTCTCGCGGCACCAGCTCAGGAGCGTGGTGCTAAGCTGGCTGCAGAGTCTGCACAGGAAGGGTGGTGGGAGAGGGAGGAGAGGGACCTAGTGACCCTGGGGAGGGTGTGGGCCCCTTCCAGCTCCCACTGTAGCCTAGCCAGACCAGAGCTGGAGCCTGGGCAGGCTTTTGCTGATAGTAAATATCCAACCATTGCTTCCCTCGGGGAACTCCAGGCATCGAGGAGAGGCTGGGCAGCTGGAGCCTGCACACACAGTCTTGCACCCAGCCCTTGACATGTTCTCTCTTCTGGACAGATTTGGAAAACTGAGGATGTGAAGATGTCTGTTCCTGGGCCGGCAGCTGCAGAGGAGCCTGGCGTGCAGCCTCCCAGCCCCAGAGGTACCCACCCCATCCTGCGCAGTCTTCCTCTCCTCTTGCCCATGTCCTGTCCCACCAGGGCCCCAGAGCTTGAGGAAGCCATGGGGAGCAGGATTGCCACCAGGTTTGGGTGAGAGCAGCTTCTTTATTGAAGTTCCTGGTGAGGTGCAAGGCAATATGGAGGATTCCTGGCGAATCCCGATCCCAGCCTTGTAGAGACCGTGACCCTGGGTGCTCCCTGGCTATATAGAGGGTGCTGTGGTGGGCTTCAGGGGTGCCTGAGCTACAAGGAGGAGCCCATGCCCACCTGCCCTGTGCCGACTCTGCCCAGCAGGATCCTGAAGGTGGTCCTGAAGGTGGCCCTGGGCATCACCTGGCCGAGCATTGCCAGGGACCATGTTATACTGTGGGTTCCCATCCTGTCACTCGTCCCAGTCCCCTGGAAAGTCCTGGAGGTGTTAGAACGGATACAGCATGGGGTTCTGGGTGCCCCAAAATAAGAGAACCACTGCTGTGCAACAAAATCTCATCTGGGTGGTAGCAGATGGGACTTGGGAGGAAACCTGATCCACCTTCACAACAGCCGCTGTCACTGCCTGCACCATAGCAGACATTTCCAGCTCTTTCTCCTTCCTCATGGTCATTGTGGGTGACCCTGTTACAGAGAGAGAGAAAGAGAGAGAGAGAGAGAGAGAGAGAGAGAGAGAGAGATTGATTGATTGATTGATTGATTGATTGATTGAGAGATTGATTGAGACAGGGAGATTTGGAAACTTCCCAAAGTGCTGCAGCAAACATAACATCTCATCTCTTCCATCCTAGCAACCACTACCACTGCAGAACAACCTTCCCAGACACTGCCACACACCCATCATCCAAGCTCACCCCTGGACTCAGAGAGCTGAACTTGCTGTCACTGCCACCCAGTAGTACCCTTGGTCACATCACCTCCTCCAACACAGCACCCTTCTCTCCAGCTGTCTTAACCAGAACCAGGACCTCGCTCTTGGGTCCCATGATCTAAGGAAACTGATTGTGAAATGAGAGTTTGAAGGCAGTTCTGCCATCACCCAAGGTCTCCTGTCTGTGTGCCCCATCTCCCAGAGTTGTGGTCACACCCACGAGGGCATTGCTCACCTCCTGAGAGCACCCTCGGAAAAGAGCAGCCCTGTTCAATGAGTTGCCTCTGCCATGTAGTGCACACCCCTTTGATTCACTTGACCATTCATTCATGGTTCAGCCCCTACCCTGTCCTAGGCTCTATGTTGGGAGCCTCTTCTTTCATCATCCAGGGATCCTTATCACAGTCCAGGCTAACACAGGGTGCTAATATCACAAAGACCTAGAACCATGTTCAGCCCCCTGACCCTGGTTTCTGTAGCATACATAGAAGCCGTGAGGGATCATCCCATCCCATCCCTCCCATCCCATCGTATCCCTCCCATCCCATCCCTCCCATCCTATCCCATCCCTCTCATCCCATCCTGTCCCATCTGTCCCATCCCATCCCTCTCATCCCATCCCTCCCATCCCATCCTATCCTATCCTATCCTATCCTATCCCATCCCTCTCATCCCATTCTATGCCATCCCATCCCATCCCATCCCACCCCACTGCATCCCATCCCATCCCATCCCATCCCATCCCATCCCATCCCATCCCATCCCATCCCATCCCATTCTATCCCATCCCATCTCAGTTGAAAGAAGAGAAAATCAGGCCCCAAGAGCTGTGTGTTGGTCTGAAAAACTCAGCACTTTGGAGAGCAAAGTTTATAGTCCTTCCCCTAAATTAGTGCATCAGGAGGACTGTCCCCAATCTGGTTAAACTATGGCTCTAAAATGCACCTGCATGACTGTATGTCATCCTGGTCTGGGCACCACTTTCCCATTTCTGAAGATACTGAAGTCCAGTAAGCTAAAGGCATTAGCTTAGCCCATTATAGAAGGATGGATGGATGGATGAGTGGATGGATAGATAAATAAAATTCATGTTGGAGCCATTGCATTAGATCTAGACAAGCCTGTGCATCCTCTGTTCAGCATCAATGTGGTGGTGAGGTTGGATTCATTGGCCAAGAGTCCAGTGAATATGTGAGAAATAAGGCCGGAAGCCCAACTCCATCCCAGAGTTTTGCCTGGCCCTAATCTCCCTCTGTTAAGTGGGGACATTTCCTCTACTGCTTATATCATAGAATCCTGATGACAGCAAATAGGCACAGATGAGAGTGTACTCCACAGTCCAGCTCATCGCTGTCATTTTCTCACCTGCTAAGAGTGTCTTCTCCTTGAATGCAGCAGCTGATGGCCTTAGGGAAATTAGAAAACTTCCAGACCGACAAGGCGCCCCTGATCCTCACTCTTGTCTCTCCTTGTTCTGACCCAGGTTACTGCTGCCCGGGCACACTGCCAGCCCCAGGGCGGCTGCAGTTCAGTGAAGGGCCAGGATGAAATGGCGTGGAAGCCTGGCATAGGAAAAAGGGAATCAGACGGGGCCAGCCTAGAGTCAACAAATCTGTGCACAGATTTGCAAGAGAACTCACTGGAGGTCTCTAATAAGGAAGCACGATGTTCTTATAATATTGCTCAAAACTTTTGTTGGAAAGGGCTCAGGACTGAGCACGACATGTGGATATTTGCACATGTGTCCTCTGGCTTATGTATTATTGCATCCCCTCAAATGTCTTAAAAGGCCCAAAAGGACAGTTTTGATGATATTGAGGATACTGCATTTATGGGCAGATGTAATCTGATTTAGTCCTGGAGTTCATTTATTTGTCATTTTCAGCAAGGACTAACCTAGATGAGTACAGGTTGTTTCAGAAATCACCCCTCGATTTGGACTCAATCCTGGACTCAATCTGATACATGAAAAGGGCTCAGAAAAAGCTTGTTGTTTGAAGTCCTGGAGAAATTTGCAAATGCCTGTTTCCAATTTAAGGTGGCTTCTCCTCTTGAGCCCCCTCTGCGCGCCATGAGCACAGCCTGACTGCACACGTGGGCTTGCAGCAGCTGTCCGGCCCCAGGCCCAAGGAAGTGGCCTCGCAGGGCCGGATCCAGCTGCTGTCTCCTCCTCATCTCACCCTTCATGTCGAAAGAATTACTGTCCAACCCCAAATGCAGTCATTAAGATGAGTGAAGTAACAATCATTGAGTTATATTTTCTGAAAAAACGTTCTCAGCATTTAATTATTGGTTGTGGCGTGAGAGGATTTAGATAAGTTGATAATGCCGACTTTATGCAATTTATTTTTACTAGGCAATTACGGGCTGCATTACATCCTGGCAGCAAGGTATTGTGGGGCATCTTATTAAGCATAAAGCCAGTAAACACTGATGAACAATTTTGCTGAACTAGGCACGCAATTTAGAAGGCAATAATACACAAATCCAATTTGGTGCACAATGGATCTGTGGCCCGTCAGCACATGTAACTATCACAGCCTGCAAATTAAATTGGGACAGCCCTCTTTGCAACAGCACAGGCCAAGATTAAATATATTTTCCCCCTCAATTTAGCAAGTTGCTGACCACAAATATAAATATATGTGTATGTGTTTGTGTAGTCGCACGTGGGCTTGCGTGTGGAGGCACATGGGTGTCCTCACTGCTCCTCTGCACGCTCCCCACAGGTCATAAGTGGCAGAAGAACCTTGCCCTGTGCATGGAGCTGGATGTCAGCCTTGCTTTGACAGGAAGATCTAGCAAGGCCAGCCCTGCAGTGACAGCCCTGGCGGTGTGCAGGTAAGCACAGCCTGGGTCCTCAAGTCTCCAGCAGAGGGCGCTAGGCCACCCTGGAAAACCCGCCAGGCCCAGTAAGGCCGCTGTGCTGTGGGCACAGGCTGGCAGGGAGGAGGCTCGGGCTGCGGGGATGTAGTCCTGGTGCCAGTAGGAAGTGGTTTATTATTGCGTTGTTGTCACTATGTGTGTATTTTCTCAGTCCTGGGGATTGAACTCAGGGCCTTTACACTGAGCTACATCCTCAGGCTCTTTATTTTGAGACAGGGTCTTTGCAAGTCATTAAATTGCCCAAGCTGGGCTTGTACTTTCCATCCTCCTGCCTCCGCCTCCCATGAGTGCTGACATTACGGCTGTGTGCCGCCACACCCAGCTTGGTCTTGTGGCTTTTAACTCACTCTGGTTCCCTTTTTGAATAGGGAAATACAAAACCCAGAGGTCGATTGTGACTTTTCCCCCGAGTCCCACTGCCAGTGGTAGCCCTAGTGTGATCCCATCCTGCACTCACGAGAACCTGCTTCTAGAGCTCTGAACTAGTTAGAGCCGTGAGTGGTCAGACAGCGCTCGGCAGCACAGCGAGCAGAGGCGCGCTCCCTACAGGGAGCTGGGCGGCCACGCCCACCTGGAGGTGTGGTCTGGGAGCTGCCACCTGCTGGGGCTGCCTCCCTCCCTCTTTGCCTGGGTGGCCGTGCGGATGACCCCAAGGGAGGGAACAGTACAGGGTTCTGGATGCGTGGCTGGCTAAATGCACAGGGGACAGAGGAGAGTCCCAAGCTGTAGTCTTCACTGCAGACCTTGCTGTGTGTTCTGCTGGGTTTTGGACAGGTGGCAGTCTAGACACAGGAGAGATGGACCCAATATCTCCAGCTCTTCTCTGTGCTTTGGGAAGCGTCACTGTCATGACACACGCACACACACGCACACACCAGCTTCCTTGACCTCCAGCTTCTGAGAACCCTGAGGCCCGACTGAGCCCCAGGCTACAGTTGCTGGCAAACTGGCTGCACGCATTGAAACCACTGCTGCCTCCTACACTCGCTCTCCTCTTTCCTCCCCAGGAACCAACCCAAGCTCCTGGTCGGCGATGAGAAGGGGAGAATATTCTGCTGGTCTGCAGAAGGATAGGCTGCCTAAGTGCTCTGCTGCAGCCTCGCGCGCTGCCCAGCACTGGCCATGCTCAGTGCCTTCAGGGGCCTCCCCTCCCAGGGTGCTTGAAGAAGGGGCCTCTGCCAGTCAGTGCGCTGGGCCCCAGACCACCCCTGGTACCCAGGGGAAGGCTGTAGACAGGCTGTGAAGACACACTGGTGCTGGATGCTGACCTGCAGATGATAAGACACACAGGAAATGCACATGATTCCACTATTGCACTGAGGAGTGGGATTGATTAGTGGAAACTGGCAGTTTGTTTTATTAAAGCCACTGTTTATCCAGTGCCTGAACTTGGGTTTGAGATTACTGCTCTCCTCTCCTCTGGGGTTGGCATCTCTGCCTCGGCTGGGCCAGAGAGCGTGGGCATCGAGCCAGCAGAGTGCTGACAAGGGAAGTCGGGCTGGCATGCAGGCAGGCTGGGCCTGCAAGCTCCTCCCAGGGCTGTCTTTACATGGAGCACAAGCATGCAGCTGATGTGGACCCATACTCACCATGTCCTGGGGAAATCTCCACTGTACACTTCTGTTGCCCTCCTGCCGAGGGGCAGATGAGGCACTTGCCTGCCTGTGTCCTCTGGAGGGTTCAGGCCCTTCCAGGCAGTCTCCTCTCAGGATGTCCAAGGCCTTGGGCTAGGCTTAGTCTAAGGTTTCCTCTCCATGCCTACATTTTCAGAACCAGGAAGGACATTCTCCAACCTCTTTGATAAGACCACTTTGGGGGGCTTCAGGGGACCAGGGAGGCCCAGGAGGCCCAGCCCCTCACTTCAACCCTCTAGGCACAGGCCTCTTTGTGGACGCAAGCAGGAATAGAAACCTCCCCATATTTCTCCAAGCCCCACAGAAGGCAGGCTGGGCATCCCCAAATAGTTCAGCCTGAGCCTAGGGATGGGATGGCAGGAGAGAGAGAGCTTGGTATTGTGTATCCTTCAGAGGGCAAGAAGTCAATTTAAAGATGACTTAGAGGACAGGTGGCGCACTGCCGTGTTGCATGTCCATATCATGGTAGAGAGTGCAGCTAGATGAGGCCCAGGCACCATGAACTCCAAGTCCTCTGTGAAGAGGAAGGTGGAGTAGAACCACTTCTTAGGGCACAGCACCCTTTCCTGGGTGGGCAGTGCTCTCGTCTGACCCCTGCCAAGGGTCACGCTGCCTGCTTACCATCTGCCCACAGCCATTTGCAATCCCCCAGCTGGTCTGTGACTGCGTTGAAGGCCCATAAATTTAATAGCAGAGAGCACCACTCCCCAGGAAGGGCAAGCACATACCATAAATATCAGGGCTGGGCCTGCTGTCAGTTTTCAAAACAATTCATAGCATTTACCCAGAGCTGAAAGCTCTGCTGGCCAAAGGGCTGTCTCTTTTCATTCACTCAATAAACATTCTTGCCCTTTATTATCTGTGTATTGTGGAAAGGTGGAGAGAGGCTGTTGGATGTTCTTCTTGGGGTCCAGGATCCATGAAGTCAGAAGGCAGGCTCCTGAGGTATGTCTCATAGCCCTGACGGGTAGGGGCATGGGTGACATGCTGGCTGTCTTAGTCTGCCACATCCAGGGGCTTAGGTGGCCGAAGGATGTTTTCCCAGGCCCTGGAGGCTGTAGCCTGAGATCAGGTGCAGCAGCGTGGGTTTTCCCTGAGCCTCTCTCCTTGGCTTGCAGACCCTGTCTTCTCCCAATGTCCTGGCAGGGTGCAGCCTCTGCGTGTGTCTGCAGATGCACCCCAGGGCAGAGGTCCAGCTCCCAGCTGCAGACTCTGGCTCCATCCAAGAAAGTGAAAGCCATGACACTGGGCAGTGTAGACTTGGTGTCCCTGCTATGGGGGTATCCAGAACAGAAGACACAGTAAAGAAGAAATAGTGGTCCCTGTCATCTGCCCAGCTGTTGCATCTTGAGCAGATGGTTTGAGAGGGGCCTTCCACCCACATCCCACCACTTGCATCTGCTGCACTCCAAGACATGCCCAGCTCTGCCAGCTGAGCCACCAACCCTGACCTGACTACACAGCTATGATAAGCTCCATGCTTGCCCTACCAGCAGCTCCACAGCCCCTGCTCCTGGGAAGTCCTAGCTCCAGTCACCTCCTGCGTACCCAGAATACCACCCCTTCATTCCAGGAGTCACCAGGCTCTCCGGTGGCAGAGTGGGGAGTGTGACTTTGTGGTGGAATGTTCTTTAATCATAGGAAAGCAAAGACTGAAAGCACAGGATCTTATCAGGCAGGCACTGGAGTCCTAAGGGTGGTGTCACTACATAGGGCTCCCCAGGGTACAGACTACGTCTGTGTCCCCTTGGGGGCAGGGCAAACTCAGCTGTCTGGGGAAACTCAGTGTCCCTGGGCCTGGTATCTCAATGTAGTCTGGCTGCTCTGCTCCTGGGACTGAGTTGAGCAATGGGAGCTTGGGGAAGCACAGGGGCTCTGAGGGCCACCCCAAGTTCTAGGCCTCCAGAGGAGCAGACTGTTGCCTGATGTCTCCACCTCACACCCGTGCACTTCAGGTCCCACAGGGGGAGCTCAGTCACTGGAGGTGATAGTACTGTCACCCCAGGGCCACCACAGTCAAAGTCAGTGCTGAGAACCCAGGCCTGGTGCCTGCAGAGAACAAACACAAGGCTGGATTGGTTCACACTGAGATGCAGGCAGGCAGCACATGTTTGAGTGGAATCAAAGCTTCACGTGAAAATCCAGATGGACTCTGTTTAGCATCCAATCAAATCTCTCTGACCCCAAGTCAAATTTGCCTCAGTAAGTTCTTGGGACCACATCACATGCCTGATCAGCAAGTGTGCATGTGTGTCACCTAGTATGTATGGAGGGGGACCTATGCAGTCTGTGTTGGTGCATATGTGTACACAGCTATGTCTGAGTGTGTGTGTGTGTGTGTGTGTGTGTGTGTGTGCAGGCATGTGTGCATGTCTTATGTGTATCTGTGAGAATACGTGTGTGGGCATGTGTATGCACCTATAGGTGTGCTTATGTATCTCTGGGTGCATGTATATGCATGCATTTGCATGTGTGTCTGAATGTGCCTATGTGACTCAATATGTTAGTGGATGTGCATACATGTGCACTAGTGTGCATGAGTGTGGGCCTATACTTGCATAAGCACACATGCACATCTGCATCAACATGCTAGAGCATGTTGTCTGTGCACTTCTCACCTTCAGGCAGCAGCAGGCCCCTCCTCTTCACACCGCCCCTTCCCAGGTTCCCAGGATCTCAGTCCTGGGCTGAGGTCTCCGTGCATCCCTGCCTGAGACCCCTCCCTGACACTTCCCAGAAAGGCACCATGAGCCAGGAGGCCCCAGCCACCCACACTGAGCCAAACTGCGCTAGCTCTGGTGGGTCCTTAGCCACACCAGAGTGGGGTTGGCCTTGGCCATCCTGTGACACCCTCGGTGCTGCTGGGATGGGCTGGCTGTGCATGGCCTCTGATCTCCAGGGCAGAGAATGGTGATGGCTGCAGATATGGGAATGGGGATGCCCAGCCTCCCAGCTTCTGTACAGGTGACCTTTGGGACCACAGGAGCACAGCAGGGTCCCCAACTGAGGATGCTGAGGCAGGTGGACCTGACTTGTGTGGGCTGGGCAGTGCTCATCATTACTTGGCTGTGTACCTTGGAAAGGCTCCAGAACAGGGGAATCTATCACCTCCTACTGTATGCTTTGGTGGCTGTCCCAGGAGGCTGTGTTGTGGGACTGGCCCAGAACCCCTCTGATTTACAATCCTTAGGCCTGAGCCTGTGGGAGACTCGGGGCTTGGGGATGGCGCACAAGCCTCTGCCCTGCTAATGGGGCAGGCAGGACACTCTTCGTGTCCTTGTGTGGTTTTCTCAGCATTTGCAGGCCGGGCTCCCACCCGCTGCGCCACATCTTCATCTGACCTTACTCCAGTGATTTACTGAGCCCCTCCTCACCTGGGTTCCTCCTCACCGAAGCTTCTGCCCATAGGACTTCACTCTCCAGAGGCAGATGGCAAAAGTGAGAGGATCCTGAGGCAGGGTCTGACATCCTGAGAGACAGGACATCTGAGGACGTGGGAGGACCACAGTGTGGGATGCATCGAGACTTGGCTGTGGGGCAGCAGGAGGAGGGCACTGAGACTGTGAACTCCATACTGATGCCTTCAGGTGGGGACACCAGGCGTCTGGGCAGTGCTCGCTGCAGTCACAGGGCCAGGGCCCAGCAAGTGTCTCCGTCATGCTTGACTTCAGGTACCACCCTCAGCTCCGAGATGTGGCTGCCGTGTTTCCTCCTGTCCCTCTGTCACCTGTGCCTCGGCTCCCTCATCTGGACCACCTGAAGGGTACACAGCACAGGGGCAGGACTTTAATGTGCCATCTGCATTCCCCACAGTTCTGGCACCCCAACCAGGACTCACTGAAGTTCCATGCCAAGTCCTGGCCTGCTGCCATGGGGACTTGGGGAGGCCCTGTGCTGGGCACCATATGGGCCTGGCTCCACAGGAGGGGCCTGGGCCCTAAAGGCAACCCCTGGGCTACAGGAGAGGAGGACCCAGACCAGAAGATCTGCACCACCACAAGCCTCTGCATAGAGGCCTACCTTGCACTTGGATGAGATAGCTCACTTCCCTGACTCCTGCCAAAGCCCCTGAGGGCCTCAAGGTCAGAGACAAGGTCCGAGACAAGGTCCTGTTTATTCTTCTTTCTCTCCTGTGCAGTGGGAGCAGGCCTCATGTGGTGTACCAGAAAAACAAAATGAATGAATGAATGAATGAATGAATGAATGAATGAATGAATGAATGTCTTATTGATGCTATCTAGTCTGGCCAGAGGCATGATAGATGGTTAGTGTGACAGATCCAACCCTTGTTGAGATGTGACTTAGAGCAAGACAGTCAGGGTCATGTCTAGGGTGGGGCTCTGTGCGCAAATATGTAGCATGCACATGATTACAGACAGCCAAATCAGTGATGACACGTGGAGTGTGCAGCATGTGCCCTGCCCTGGCTGGTGTCCAGGTGGGCTGGCTTCTGTCCCAGTGGGGAACGTCATTCCAACCTGCAGCTTGGAACCAGGAATGGTGCCAGTCTCTCCCTTGTCATTGCCCTCCAGCCATACTGTCTAGTCATTTGGCAGGAGGCAGGAGCACAGGGCCTCAGTGCTGGACAGGGAGACAACAGGGCCACCATAGCCCCAACAGTAGCTCTGCCCCCAAAGAGCCAGCTGGAGAGAGACACATGGTATGCACAAGTGGCTTGTGCCCCTTTAGGGAAGGGGCAAGGGAGTGATGGGGATGGGAAACACGGC